AGAACATATATACACTGCAATAGAGAAAAAGAAGTCCCACTGGGATCTCATTTACTTACGTAAAGCTTTTGATACAGTTGACCATGACTTGCTCCACGTAAAATTGTCACACTATGGTATTAAGAGGGCACTCCCTCAACTACCTCAAGTCTTACCTCAGCAACAGAAGCCAATATGTGTACGCAAATGGGGCAAACTCTTCTGCACAACCAATTACAGTTGGTGTCCCACAGGAAGTGTCCTTGGCCCTCTTCTCTTTCTCCTATACATAAATGACCTTCCAAATGCTTGCAATTACTCAAACCCACACTATTTGCAGATGACACTACATACGTCTTCTCTCACCCGAGCCCAGTCACGCTAGCCAATACTGTAAATACCGAATTACAGAAAATATCTACCTGGATGAGGACTAACAAACTTACACTAAACATTGACAAAACCTACTTCATTCAGTTTGGTAACAGAGCTACAGATGTCCCTCTTAACATAATGATAAATGGATCACCTATCACAAAACTAACAGAGGGAAAATTCTTAGGAATCCACCTTGATAATAGACTCAAATTTCATACACATATACATCAAATTTCTAAGAAAATTTCCAAGACTGTAGGCATACTATCGAAGATACGGTACTATGTTCCACAGTCAGCCCTCCTGGCCCTATATCACTCTCTTATTTACCCCTATCTCACCTATGGAATTTGTGCATGGGGCTCAACAACAATTAACCATCTCAGACCACTAATTACCCAACAAAAGGCTGCAGTTAGAATGATAACAAATTCTCACTACAGGCAGCACACTCCACCAATATTCAGTACACTAAACCTACTCACCATACAAAACATCCATACTTATTACTGCACCTATTACATACATAGAACACTTAACTCTGATATTAACCCTCCCCTCAAACATCTCCTTGCCAACCTCAACAGAACACATGACCATAACACAAGGCACAGATCACTCTTTGATGTTCCTCGTGTCCATCTCACACTATGCAAAAACTCAATGCACATAAAAGGCCCTAAAATCTGGAATTCATTACCTGTAAATATAAAAGAAACACAACCTGTTTATAAATTCAAGTCTCTTCTCAAAGATTACTTACTCACCCAAACCAAATAAATACTGAATAACTGAACATTATAAATTGTATATCTTAAATGTTTCTCACAATTATATCACATAAATGTTAAACCTAAAACCCAATCTAACTTTATTATTTTTTAAATACACTACCTAACAGAATCACTACCTAACTGAATGCAACCATATGACCTGTCTTTGTAATACTCACTTGTGCTTTATAGTTATCTGTTTACATTAATGTTTTATCACTGATTTCATCATTGCTTAGTAGCAGCGCTGTATAGTCCTTGTGGCTTAGCGCTTCTTTTTGATTATAATAATAATAATAATAATCATTGCTTAGTTAATCTTAAGTTAATTTTAAGCCAGCCCGTAATGCTATGCATAGTATAAGTGGCTTTGGCATACTGCTCTTATCTGTATTTTTTTTGTACCTCTGTATGTGTGCACAAATTGGAAATAAATAAATAAATAAATAAATAAATAAATAAATAAATAAAGAATTAGAGGTAAGACAGAATGTAGGATTGCAGATGAGCAAGGAGGTTTCAGAGTGGGCAGGGGATGTGTAGATCAAGTGTTTACATTGAAGCATATATGTGAACAGTATTTAGATAAAGGTAGGGAGGTTTTTATTGCATTCATGGATTTAGAAAGGCATATGATAGAGTGGATAGAGGAGCAATGCGGCAGATGTTGCAAGTATATGGAATAGGTGGTAAGTTACTAAATGCTGTAAAGAGTTTTTATGAGGATAGTGAGGCTCAGGTTAGGGTGTGTAGAAGAGAGGGAGACTACTTCCCGGTAAAAGTAGGTCTTAGACAGGGATGTGTAATGTCACCATGGTTGTTTAATATATTTATAGATGGGGTTGTAAAAGAAGTAAATGCTAGGGTGTTCGGGAGAGGGGTGGGATTAAATTATGGGGAATCAAATTCAAAATGGGAATTGGCACAGTTACTTTTTGTTGATGATACTGTGCTTATGGGAGATTCTAAAGAAAAATTGCAAAGGTTAGTGGATGAGTTTGGGAATGTGTGTAAAGGTAGAAAGTTGAAAGTGAACATAGAAAAGAGTAAGGTGATGAGGATATCAAATGATTTAGATAAAGAAAAATTGGACATCAAATTGGGGAGGAGGAGTATGGAAGAAGTGAATGTTTTCAGATACTTGGGAGTTGACGTGTCGGCGGATGGATTTATGAAGGATGAGGTTAATCATAGAATTGTTGAGGGAGAAAAGGCGAGTGGTGCGTTGAGGTATATGTGGAGTCAAAAACCGTTATCAATGGAGGCAAAGAATGGAATGTATGAAAGTATAGCAGTACCAACACTCTTATATGGATGTGAAGCTTTGGTGGTAAATGCAGCAGCGAGGAGACGGTTGGAGGCAGTGGAGATGTCCTGTCTAAGGGCAATGTGTCGTGTAAATATTATGCAGAAAATTCGGAGTGTGGAAATTAGGAAAAGGTGTGGAGTTAATAAAAGTATTAGTCAGAGGGCAGAAGAGGGGTTGTTGAGGTGGTTTGGTCATTTAGAGAGAATGGATCAAAGTAGAATGACTTGGAAAGCATATAAATCTATAGGGGAAGGAAGGCGGGGTAGGGGTCATTCGCGAAAGGGTTGGAGAGAGGGGGTAAAGGAGGTTTTGTGGGCGAGGGGCTTGGACTTCCAGCAAGCGTGCATGAGCGTGTTAGTTATGAGTGAATGGAGACGAATGATACTTGGGACCTGACGATCTGTTGGAGTGTGAGCAGGGTAATATTTAGTGAAGGGATTCAGGGAAACCAGTTATTTTCATATAGTCGGACTTGAGTCCTGGAAATGGGAAGTACAATGCCTGCACTTTAAAGGAGGGGTTTGGGATATTGGCAGTTTGGAGGGATATGTTGTGTATCTTTATACATATTTGCTTCTGAACTGTTGTATTCTGAGCGCCTCTGCAAAAACAGTGATAATGTGTGAGTGTGGTGAAAGTGTTGAATGATGAAAGTATTTTCTTTTTGGGGATTTTCTTTCTTTTTTGGGTCACCCTGACTCGGTGGGAGACGGCTGACTTGTTGAGAAAAAAAAAACATGTTAGAGTGGATAGGGGAGCAATGTAGCAGATGTTGCAAGTATATGGAATAGGTGGTAACTTAAAGAGTTTTTATGAGGATAGTGAGGCTCAGGTTAGGATGTGTAGAAGAGAGGGAGACTACTTCCCAGTAAAAGTAGGTCTTAGACAGGGATGTGTAAGGGCACCATGGTTGTTTAATATATTTATAGATGGGGTTGTAAAAGAAGTAAATGCTAGGGTGTTCGGGAGAGGGGTGGGATTAAATTATGGGGAATCAAATACAAAATGGGAATTGACACAGTTGCTTTTTGCTGATGATATTGTGCTTATGGGAGATTCTAAAGAAAAATTGCAAAGGTTAGTGGATGAGTTTGGGAGTGTGTGAAGGTAGAAAGTTGAAAGTGAACATAGAAAAGAGTAAGGTGATGAGGGTATCAAATGATTAAGATAAAGAAAAATTGGATATCAAATTGGGAGGAGTAGTATGGAAGAAGTGAATGTTTTCAGATACTTGGGGGTTGATGTGTTGGCGGTTAATCATAGAATTAATGAGGATAAAAAGGTAAGTAATTTTGGTCATTTAGAGAGAATGGATCAAAGTAGAATGACATGGAAAGCATATAAATCTATAGGGGAAGGAAGGCGGGGTAGGGGTCGTCCTCGAAAGGGTTGGAGAGAGGGGGTAAAGGAGGTTTTGTGGGTAAGGGGCTTGGACTTCCAGCAAGCGTGCGTGAGCGTGTTAGGAGTGAATGGAGACGAATGGTACTTGGGACCTGACGATCTGTTGGAGTGTGAGCACGGTAATATTTAGTGAAGGGATTCAGGGAAACAGGTTATTTTCATATAGTCGGACTTGAGTCCTGGAAATGGGAAGTACAATGCCTGCACTTTAAAGGAGGGGTTTGGGATATTGGCAGTTTGGAGGGATATGTTTAAGTGGTGCGTTGAGGTATATGTGGAGACAAAAACCGTTATCTATGGAGGCAAAGAAGGAATGTATGAAAGTATAATAGTACCAACACTCTTATATGGGTGTGAAGCTTGGGTTGTGAATGCAGCAGCAAGGAGGTGGTTGGAGGCAGTGGAGATGTCCTGTCTAAAGGCAATGTGTGGTGTAAATATGCAGAAAATTCGGAGTGTGGAAATTAGGAGAAGGTGTGGAGTTAATAAAAGTATTAGTCAGAGGGGTTGTTGAGGTGGTTTGGTTATTTAGAGAGAATGGATCAAAGTAGAATGACATGGAAAGCATATAAATCTATAGGGGAAGGAAAGAGGGGTAGGGGTCGTCCTCGAAAGGGTTGGAAAGAGGGGGTAAAGGAGGTTTTGTGGGCGAGGGGCTTGGACTTCCAGCAAGCATGCGTGAACATGTTAGATAGTGAATGGAGACGAATGGTATTTGGGACCTGACGAGCTGTTGGAGTGTGAGCAGGGTAATATTTAGTGGGAGACGGCTGACTTGTTGAAAAAAAAAAAAATTCAGGGAAACTGGATATTTTTATATAGCCAGACTTGAGTACTGGAAATGAGAAGTACAATGCCTGCACTCTAAAGGATGGGTTGGGATATTGGCAGTTTGGAGGGATAAGTTGTATATCTTTATACGTATATGCTTCTAAACTGTTGTGGTCTGGGCACCTCTGGAAAAACAGTGATTATGTATGAGGGAGGTGAAAGTGTTGAATGATGATGAAAGTATTTTTTTTTTTTTTTTTTTTTTTTTGTCATCCTGCCTCTGTGGGATACGACCGGTTTGTTGAAAAAAAAAATATATATATATGTGCTGTATACTGTGCATCATTATAATGTACACGTCAATTATAAGAATCCTTTTATTTTACCAGACTTGACTTAGATGCCTGGATCAATGATCCACCTTCAGAGAGTGAAGAAGAGGAGGATGATGCACTTGAGAAGGAGATATTTGTCAAAGCAGATTCTTCTTATAAACATAGAAAGGAGAAGTATGAGCCTTCAGAAGAGGAACTCCAGAAGGTACATTGAGCTCTAATAATTTTAAATAAAATGGGTGAAGAAAATAATTTAATAAAATAAAAATGATCATATCCTGTAAAAATGGGATAGCAACCATATTTCCTTTTTATTATTATTATGATAATTTTATGGTAAATATCATGTTTGAAGTTAAATATTTTTGGTCACTAATTGAAAAGTGAAATGTCTGATAAAAATATGATGTTCAGTAATATTAAAAAGTAATATGTAATGGTATTTCATCACACTTCCACAACACTGTTATATAAACAAAAACTGAGAAAGTAAAGTGTGCAATGTTTAAACTACCAGTAGATCCAAGATTGGCGTGACTATTATCCCCATGTGTTATTTTGGCATTGTAGTTTTCATAATTTATTTTTCTTATCTCAATAGCTGTCTCCTGCAAAGGCAAGGTGACCCAGAAAAAAACATATTCACCGTTATCCATTCACTTGCTGTCTTGGTAGAAGTGTGCTAAACAGTTTTTTCACTTGCGAAAAGTTTGTCATAGCTTGCACCAGAGAACAAGAGAACTGATAAATTCAGATTGACTGCCTTTGCAAAGGTTTCTTAATGCTACATGCGTTAGCATGCTTAACTTATGTTGCTGATGTATTTCTTTGAGCTTCATTTCATCAGACAGCTTTCTAATAATAGTTATTCTGATTTTTTTTTTATATAAAGTATCTAAGCTTTCATTCCCAACCCAGATGAGCTTCAGTACTGACTCCTATTGTTCTCTCCCAGCTCTATAACCTTACTTTGGCTTGAGTTAAATTCCACTAAGCATTTATTTGACCATTCATGAAGTCTTGTCAGTCTTCTTCTTCATCATCACTGGCAGCATTGAACAGACAGAAGCAATAGAGAATGCATTGCAGTGGGTCAAGAAGGAGGCAGTGATTGAGAAGTGTCAGAATGATAGTGTAACAAGTGAGGTTCCATCATGATCAGTATTGGGACTGTTCCTGTCTTGTAATAAATACAGAGGATCAAGACTTCATCATTCTTTGTACTAAATGATCCACATAGGACTAGCACATAGCATAACGTTTTCATCTCTTCATTTGGCATTCTTATTGCTTTGACTTTTTTTTTTTTTTTTTTTTTTTTTTTTTTATAAAGTCGGCCGTCTCCCACCAAGGCAGGGTGACCCAAAAAGAAAGAAAATCCCTAAAAAGAAAATAATTTCATCAACTCTTTTTACCTCACTCACACATCACTGTTTTTGCAGAAGTGCTCAGAACACAACTGCTAAGAATCATATACGTATAAAGATACACAACATATCCCTCCAAACCATCAATATCCCGAACCCATCCTTTAGAGTGCAGGCATTGTACTTCCCATTTCCAGGACTCAAGTCCAGCTATATAAAAACAACCAGTTTCCCTGAATCCCTTCACTAAATATTACCCTGCTCACACTCCAACAGATCGTCAGGTCCCAAATACCAGTCGTCTCCATTCACTCCTATCAAACACGCTCACGCACGCCTGCTGGAAGTCCAAGCCCCTCGCCCACAAAACCTCCCTTACCCCTTCCAACCTTTTTGAGGATGACCTCTACCCCGCCTTCCTTCCCCTACAGATTTAAATGCTCTCCATGTCATTCTACTTTGATCTATTCTCTCTAAATGACCAAACCATCTCAACAACCCCTCTTCAGCCCACCGACTAATACTTTTATTAACTCCACACCTTCTCCTAATTTCCACACTCCGAATTTTCTGCATAATATTTATACCATAGTGAGGATAGTGAGGCTCAAGTTAGAGTATGTAGGAAAGAGGGAGATTATTTCCCAGTAAAAGTAGGCCTTAGACAAGATGTGTGATGTCACCGTGGTTGTTTAATATATTTATAGATGGGGTTGTAAGAGAAGTAAATGCGAGGGTCTTGGCAAGAGGCGTGGAGTTAAAAGATAAAGAATCACACATAAAGTGGGAGTTGTCACAGTTGCTCTTTGCTGATGACACTGCTCTTGGGAGATTCTGAAGAGAAGTTGCAGAGGTTGGTGGATGAATTTGGTAGGGTATGCAAAAGAAGAAAATTAAAAGTGAATACAGGAAAGAGTAAGGTTATGAGGATAACAAAAAGATTAGGTGATGAAAGATAGGATATCAGATTGGAGGGAGAGAGTATGGAGGAGGTGAATGTATTGAGATATTTGGGAGTGGACGTGTCAGCGGATGGGTCTATGAAAGATGAGGTGAATCATAGAATTGATGAGGGGAAAAGGGTGAGCGGTGCACTTAGGAGTCTGTGGAGACAAAGAACTTTGTCCTTGGAGGCAAAGAGGGGAATGTATGAGAGTATACTTTTACCAACGCTCTTATATGGGTGTGAAGCATGAGTGATGAATGTTGCAGTGAGGAGAAGGCTGGAAGCAGTGGAGATGTCATGTCTGAGGGCAATGTGTGGTGTGAATATAATGCAGAGAATTCGTAGTTTGGAAGTTAGGAGGAGGTGTGGGATTACCAAAACTGTTGTCCAGAGGGCTGAGGAAGGGTTGTTGAGGTGGTTCAAACATGTAGAGAGAATGGAGCGAAACAGAATGACTTCAAGAGTGTATCATTCTGTAGTGGAATAAAGGCGGGGTAGGGGTCGGCCTAGGAAAGGTTGGAGGGAGGGGGTAAAGGAGGTTTTGTGTGCGAGGGGCTTGGACTTCCAGCAGGCATGCGTGAGTGTGTTTGATAGGAGCGAATGGAGACAAATGGTTTTTAATACTTCACGTGCTGTTGGAGTGTGAGCAAAGTAACATTTATGAAGGGATTCAGGGAAACCGGCAGGCCGGACTTGAGTCCTGGAGATGGGAAGTACAGTGCCTGCACTCTGAAGGAGGGGTGTTAATGTTGCAGTTTAAAAACTTCTGGCAAGACAGTGATGGAGTGAATGATGGTGAAAGTTTTTCTTTTTTGGGCCACCCTGCCTTGGTGGGAATTGGCCAGTGTGTTAATAAAAAAAACATTGCCCTTAGACAGGACATCCACTGCCTCCTTGCTGCTGCATTCACAACCCAAGCTTCACACCCATATAAGAGTGTTGGTACTACTATACTTTCATACATTCCCTTCTTTGCCTCCATAGATAATGTTTTATGTTTCCACATATACCTCAACGCACCACTCACCTTTTTTCCCCTCATCAATTCTACGTTTAACCTCATCCTTCATAAATCCATCCGCTTACACATCAACTCCCAAGTATCTGAAAACATTCACTTCTTCCATACTCTTCCTCCCCAATTTGATATCCAATTTTTCTTTATCTAAATCATTTGATACCCTCATCACCTTACTCTTTTCTATATTCACTTTCAACTTTTTACCTTTACACACACTCCCAAACTCGTCCACTAACCTTTGCAATTTTTCTTTTGAATCTCCCATAAGTACAGTATCATCAGCAAAAAGCAACTGTGTCAATTCCCATTTTGTATTTGATTCTTCATAATTTAATCCCACCCCTCTCCTGAACACCCTAGCATTTACTTCTTTTACAACCCCATCTATAAATATATTAAACAACCATGGTGACATTACACATCCCTGTCTAAGACCTACTTTTACCGGAAGTAGTCTCCCTCTCTTCTACACACCCTAACCTGAGCCTCACTATCCTCATAAAAACTCTCTACAGCATTTAGTAACTTACCACCTATTCCATATACTTGCAACATCTGCCACATTGCTCCCCTATCCACTCTACCATATGCCTTTTCTAAATCCATAAATGCAATAAAAACTTCCCTACATTTATCTAAATACTCTTCACATGTATGCTTCAATGTAAACACTTGATCTACACATCTCCTACCTACTCTAAAACCTCCTTGCTCATCTGCAATCCTACATTCTGTCTTACCTCTAATTCTTTCAATTATAACCCTATCATACACTTTTCCTGGTATACTCAGTAAACTTATTCTTCTATAATTTTTACAATCTCTCTTATCCCCCTTCCCTTTATATACAGGGACTATAGATGCTCTCCACCAGTCTCTAGGTACCTTCCCCTCTTTCATACATATTTTTTTTTTTTCAACAAGTCGGCCGTCTCCCACCGAGGCAGGGTGACCCAAAAAGAAAGAAAATCCTCAAGAAGAAAATACTTTCATCATCATTCAACACTTTCACCTCACTCACACATAATCACTGTTTTTGCAGAGGTGCTCAGAACACAACAGTTTAGAACCATATATGTATAAAGATACACAACATATCCCTCCAAACTGCTAATATCTCAAAACCCCTCCTTTAGAGTGCAGGCATTGTACCTCTCATTTCCAGGACTCAAGTCCGGCTATATAAAAATAACCGGTTTCCCTGAATCCCTTCACTAAATATTACCCTGCTCACACTCCAACAGATCATCAGGTCCCAAATACCATTCGTCTCCATTCACTCCTATCGAACACGCTCGTGCACGCCTGCTGGAAGTCATACATATATTAAACAAAAATACCAACCACTCCAACATTATATCCCCCCCTGCTTTTAACATTTCTGTCATGATCCCATCAGTTCCAGCTGCTTTACCCCCTTTCATTCTACGTGATGCCTCATGCACCTCCCCCACTCTCTCATCCTGTTCTTCTTCACTCCTAAAAGATGGTATACCTCCCTGGCCAATGCATGAAATTACCGCCTCCCTTTCTTCGTTGACATTTAAAAGTTCCTCAAAATATTCCCGCCATTACCCAAAACCTCCCTCTCCCCATCTACTAACTCCCCTACTCTGTTTTTAACTGACAAATCCATTTGTTCCCTAGGCTTTCTTAACTTGTTTAACTCACTCGAAAGTTTTTTGTTATTTTCATTAAAATTTCTTGACAGTGCCTCTCCCACTCTATCATTTGCTCTCCTTTTGCACTCTCTCACCACTCTCTTCACCTTTCTTTTACTCTCTATATACTCTACTCTTCTTATAACACTTCTGCTTTGTAAAAACCTCTCATAAGCTAACTTTTTCTCTATCACAACCTTTACTTCATCATTCCACCAATCACTCCTCTTTCCTTCTGCACCCACCCTCATATAACCACAAACTTCTGTCCCACATTCTAATACTGCATTTTTAAAACTATTCAAACCCTCTTCAACTCCCCCCCCCCCCCCATCACTGCTCATACTTGCACCAGTCCACCTTTCTGCCAATAGTTGCTTATATCTCACCCGAACTTCCTCCTCCCTTAGTTTATACACTCTCGCCTCCCTCTTGTTGTTGCCATTTTCCTCTTTTCCCATCTACTTCTTACTCTAACTGTAGCTACAACTAAATAATGATCCGATATCAGTTGCCCCTCTTATAAACTTGTACATCCTGAAGCCTACCCATCAACCTTTTATCCACCAATATATAATCTAACAAACTACTTTCGTTGCGTGCTATATCATACCTTGCATATTTATTTATCCTCTTCATAAAATATGTATTACCTATTACTAAACAGCTTTCTACACATAGCTCAATTAAAGGCTTCCCATTTTCATTTACCCCTGGCACCCCAAATTTACCTACTACTCCCTCCACAACATTTTTGCCCACTTTAGCATTGAAATCCCCAACCACCATTACTTTCACACTTGGTTCAAAACTCCCCACACATTCACTCAACATTTCCCAAAATCTCTCTCTCTCCTCTACACTTCTTTCTTCTCCAGGTGCATATACACTTACTATAACCTACTTTTCACATCCAACCTTTATTTTACTCCACATAATCCTTGAATTAATACATTTATAGTCCCTCTTTTCCTGCCATAGCTTATCCTTCAACGTTATTGCTACTCCTTTAGCTCTAACTCTGTTTGAAACCCCTGACCTAATCCCATTTATTCCTCTCCACTGAAACTCTCCCACCCCCTTCATCTTCGTTTCACTTAAAGCCAGGACATCCAGCTTCTTCTCATTCATAACATCCACAATCATCTCTTTCTTATCATTTGCACAACATCCATGCACATTCAGACTTCCCACTTTGACAATTTTCTTCTAATTATTCTTTTTAGTAATTATTACAGGAAAAGGGGTTACTAGCCCATTGTTCCTGGCATTTTAGTTGACTTTTACAACACGCATGGCTTATGGAGGAAAGATTCTTATTCCACTTCCCCATGGATATAAAAGGAAAAGTAATAAGACCAAGAACTATTAAGATAAAATCAAAGAAAACTCAGACGAGTGTTTATAAATAAACATGTACATGTAGTGTGACCTAAGTGTAAGTAGAAGTAGCAAGACGTACCTGAAATCTTGCATGTTTATGAGGCAGAAAATAAGACACCAGTAATTCTACCATCATGTAAAACAATTACAGGTTTCCGTGTTACACTCACTTGGCAGGATGGTAGTACCTCCCTGGGTGATTGCTGTCTACCAACCTACTACACTTAACACTTTGACTTTGACAAACAGATATATGTAGGAGTCAGTTCCTGTAATCTTTCAACAAACCGGTCGTATCAACTTTGACAAACAGATATATGTAGGAGTCAGTTCCTGTAATCTTTCAACAAACCGGTCGTATCCCACCGATGCAGGGTGGCCCAAAAAGAAAAACAAAAGTTTCTCTTTTTAAATTTATTAATTTATACAGGAGAAGGGGTTACTAGCCCCTTGCTCCCAGCATTTTAGTCGCCTTTTACAACACGCATGGCTTATGGAGGAAGAATTCTGCTCCACTTCCCCATGGAGATAAGAGGAAATAAACAAGAATAAGAACTAGAAAGAAAATAGCAGAAAACCCAGAGAGGTGTGTATAGTATATATATGCTTGTACATGTACACCTACCATCCGACTTACGACCTGCTCGACTTACGACCACTCGACTAACGACTGTGTTTTTTATGCCAAATTTCTGGGAAATAAATAACTATTTGTGTTGTACACACTGTTTATCCTAAACCTTACAGTATAAAATACAGTACTAACAACATAAAAAGTAAAGTAAAACATGAAATACCAAAATAAAACAATAAAATAAAGTCATTACAAAAATGTTTTGTTGATATTCAATAGTAAAGTTCTACTTACGACCATTTCGACTTACGACCGGTTTCTCGGAACCGAACTCGGTCGTAAGTCGGATGGTAGGTGTATTTGTAGTGTGACCTAAGTGTAAGTAGAAGTAGCAAGACGTACCTGAAATCTTGCATGTTTATGAGACAGAAAAAAGGACACCAGCAATCCTACCATCATGTAAAACTATTGCAGGCTTTTGTTTTACACTCACTTGGCAGGACGGTAGTACCTCCTTGGGCTAGTTCCTGTAATCATGTCATTAAATACACACCAGGTACAGTATAGGACCCATTAGTTATACTTTCCCCACCCTGATGATTAATTCCTAATTGACATCTGTTGTTATCCTACTTAATACCTTGCCTTTCCCCCTGGCTTGTTTCTCCAGTTTAAAATACCTTCTTTGCTTTGTTCACTATTGGCTTCGAATACTCTGAAGGAGTGTGATATGAAGCATCTTGTCTGATGTGATCCATTGGTGGATCCTGGGTCTACCATGTCTGTCTCATCATTTGTTTTAATCTTGGATTCTGAAAATGAGTGGTAAGTGATATAGACCCTTGATTCCTTGTAGTCATTGCTGGCTGTGATGTATCTTTAGCAGACGAAAGGGGATCATCTTTTGCTGGCCATACTGGTGTTCAGAAAAATTAGTTCAGTAGACTCTTCTACTGATTCTACAGTTCAGGGATTCCAAATCTCCTGCAGGTGGTTGATATTTTCAACTAATTTCTGGTACTGACTCTGTATTTGATAGATCTTTGGCAGCATTTTAATCTGCACTAAAGATCAGCAAGCTGTTTTAATCAAACCACTTACTGGATTTTAGTGAACATTCCTTCAGTGTTATTGGCATGATGCATGTGGAAAACAATACAATAATCTAGGTTTGTTACATTAGACTCTGTCATTTTGTCGATGGGCACCCAGCACCACTTCACTAGAATTATTAATACATTAATGGCATACAGTATTGACAGGTTAATGAATAAGACACACATACAACACAGGGATATCTTTATTATGAAGATGTCTTTCCAACCAGTGGCTTTTTAAATTCACTACATAGATTATATACTGGAGATAGTTGAGTTATTAGGTTATGGTGACAGTCCAACATGATTTGAAAGACTGCTCCATTTATCAAACAGCACAATGATTTCATTTACAACCTCTTTTACAGTGCTCTGACCTGGTTACTCTGCTCTGCTCACTGACAACCTTGTATTCAATGCAGGTTTTCTCTGACTTTTAACTGAATCTTGTTTACTACACTGACTGTGGCTTAGCTCCATTTGTCTTCGTGCTCACCCTCAAAACCTCTCTCTCGGCTATCAGTTTTTCCCCTCACTATGCGTCAGGTTAATATAATGTGAATTATTTTCAGCTTCGAGATGCCAGGAGGGCAGAACAAGCTAGCAACCCATACTATGTGAAATCATCAGCACTGTCATCTCCACGGCCAAATCATAACAGCATACAAGTAGATGAAATTCCTGTAACAGCAATTGACTTAAATGTTTCCCTTAAGATACCAGGTTAGTTGTGTATTCTTTAGTTGCATTGTGCTTAGCGTTATTTTATACATCTTTTAGCATAAAGCTTTTTCTTGTCAGATATTTTCCAAAAAATTTGTCATGTGTATAATTAAAGCATTCTGATGATGACCTAATAAAAGTCAGTTGGAGATAATGTTACTGACAACAAGACTACACTGTTGGAAATGTAGGTGTAAATTAGTTGGATCTGGTAGCAGGGCAGACTTGTTCACATGTTCATGTCTTTACATCTTTCGAAATTACCAAATTGTCTCCAAAGATGCATTCCAAGACAGCTCTCAGAAACTATTAAAATATAATTGTTGACTGATTGGAGGAAAAGAGGAGGCAGGATAACTACATAAAACAATATAAAATGATACATCTATCTATAAATGTATCATTTTATGTTCAGCCTTAACAAAAATGTAAATATAAAATCCATAGTTCCTTACCAATCTCTAACAAACAAATGTGATTTCTCAATATATGTATGAAATGAGCATAACAAACAGTATGACTTGGTAAAAACTTAGAAACAATAATTATTTTAATTCAGTTATCAAAACTAGCCTGATAAAAATTAAAAAAAAAAATAATCACTGTGATAGGTGGGAAACCTTAGGAGCAAAGGGAGAAAATTTATATAAAAAATTAATTGTGAACAGGTCAAAATGCAATAGGTGGAGACACGAAAGGTGATCTACTGTGTGCGTGTGTGTTACATAGAGTGAATTTACATGAGATGTTGATATAAAGAATGTACGTGATGTGTTATGTCTACCTGTGTGTCCTATTAGGAAATTGGTGAAGAGGAAAATTTAAGAGTCATTAATCCTTTCAGAGTCATGACCCCTACTCAGACTTGTTTTCAGGGTCTCAAAATCATCCCCCCCCCTCCCCCATTATCTTTTCTTATGAAATGGTAGAGAATATTTTTCTGAAGGTAATAAAATAAAAAGTACAAAATACGATGGAAAACTAATGAACTTGCACTTTTGCGAATTTTGCTGTGTCAGCGATATTAGTGTATCGATGATTTCATCCACTTTGAGTCCAATTTTAGGCCAATTCCATGGTTCCAGTTGACCAAATTCCTAGCTATTTTTGCTAGTATGTCTTCCATTCTATCAATTGAGTGTAAGAAACTGCCCATTCATCTGTTTAAACTACCCAATGAAGTGATCAGAAATTGGTAATTTTGCCAGTTTCACAGAAAATTCAAGAAATGCCAGCTTCAAAATAGGGTTCAGAATAAACAGTTCAGACATTCCTGGCACTAAAATAACATTTTCTATGCTCATTGGTCATGTCTCCAGGCCCCTCTTTTATTGCACTTGCTTTCCATTTTGAATTTTAATTCACACAAAAAAATAAGATTTACTGTTATGCAGACTACTGCATTATTGTAATAATTGTATAAATAATGTCATTGCATTCCTAAATGCATATTAGACTGGCTAGTTGTATGCTTATTGGATAAGTGACGTCATTTGTGTACTCTGGATCATCGGCAAAACTCAAACATTTCCACTACTTTGAGCTCAATTTCAAGTTACTTTCAGTTTCGAAACCAATCAAAATCATCTCTATTTCTGTAATATATTTTCCATTCTATCAAATGAGACCAAGAAACTGAGAACATAACTTTTTTTTTTTTTTTCAACAAGTTGGCCGTCTCCCACCGAGGCAGGGTGACCCAAAAAAGAAAGAAAATCCCCCCCCAAAAAATACTTTCATCATCATTCAACACTTTCACCACACTCACACATTATCACTGTTTTTGCAGAGGTGCTCAGAATACAACAGTTTAGAAGCATATACGTATAAAGATACACAACATATCCCTCCAAACTGCCAATATCCCAAACCCCTCCTTTAAAGTGCAGGCATTGTACTTCCCATTTCCAGGACTCAAGTCTGACTATATGAAAATAACCAGTTTCCCTGAATCCCTTCACTAAATATTACCCTGCTCACACTCCAACAGATCGTCATGTTACAAGTACCATTCGTCTCCATTCACTCCTATCTAACACGCTCACGCACGCTTGCTGGAAGTTCAAGCCCCTCGCCCACAAAACCTCCTTTACCCCCTCCAACCCTTTTGAGGATGACCCCTACCCCTCCTTCCTTCCCCTATAGATTTATATGCTTTCCATGTCATTCTACTTTGATCCATTCTCTCTAAATGACCAAACCACCTCAACAACCCCTCTTCTGCCCTCTGACTAATACTTTTATTAACTCCACACCTTTTCCTAATTTCCACACTTCGAATTTTCTGCATAATATTTACACCACACATTGCCCTTAGACAGGACATCTCCACTGCCTCCAACCGTCTCCTCGCTGCTGCATTTACCACCCAAGCTTCACATCCATATAATAGTGTTGGTACTACTATACTTTCATACATTCCCTTCTTTGCCTCCATAGATAACGTTTTTTTGACTCCACATATACCTCAATGCACCACTCACCTTTTTTCCCTCATCAATTCTATGATTAACCTCATCCTTCATAAATCCATCCGCCGACACGTCAACTCCCAAGTATCTGAAAACATTCACTTCTTCCATACTCCTCCTCCCCAATTTGATATCCAATTTTTCTTTATCTAAATCATTTGATACCCTCATCACCTTACTCTTTTCTATGTTCACTTTCAACTTTCTACCTTTACACACATTCCCAAACTCATCCACTAACCTTTGCAATTTTTCTTTAGAATCTCCCATAAGCACAGTATCATCAGCAAAAAGTAACTGTGTCAATTCCCATTTTGAATTTGATTTCCCATAATTTAATCCCACCCCTCTCCCGAACACCCTAGCATTTACTTCTTTTACAACCCCATCTATAAATATATTAAACAACCATGGTGACGTTACACATACCTGTCTAAGACCTACTTTTACCGGGAAGTATTCTCCCTCTCTTCTACACACCCTAACCTGAGCCTCACTATCCTCATAAAAAGTCTTAATAGCATTTAGTAACTTACCACCTATTCCATATACTTGCAACATCTGCCACATTGCTCCTCTATCCACTCTATCATATGCCTTTTCTAAATCCATAAATGCAATAAAAACTTCCCTACCTTTATCTAAATACTGTTCATATATAGGGGAAGGAAAGAGGGTCAGGGGTCGTCCTCGAAAGGGTTGGAAAGAGGGGGTAAAGGAGGTTTTGTGGGTGAGGGGCTTGGACTTCCAGCAAGCGTGCATAAGCGTGTTAGATAGGAGTGAATGGAGACTGTTGTATTCTGAGCACCTCTGCAAAAGCAGTGATAATGTGTGAGTGTGGTGAAAGTGTTGAATGATGATGAAAGTATTTTCTTTTTGGGGATTTTCTTTCTTTTTTTTGGGTCACCCTGCCTCGGTGGGAGACCCAGTCTCTCATATCTAGACGAAAATTTACTGCTCATAACTTATCTGAGTGAGCTGAGCTCATGGTGTAGTACTATGGGACTGACCCCTGGCTTCAGAGCCAGGGATCAACACCAAAAGGGTTAAATATTATTGATCTTTGTGAATTTATGCTGATGATACAACATCCTTGAATGTATTGCATGAATTAGAGATGGGATGATTAAATTTCTTTGCTGACCCCAATACTTGATTTTAGGCTGATATGAATACCGTTAAAATTAGCCAATACCAGTCACGGCTCGTCCATAGGAGCAGCAGAGCTCCAGTTCCCTCAGATGCTCACTGCCAGACGTATGACTTCATCAACCTTACGCTAAAATAATTTGCAACTGACATATATATTACAGGAAAAATCTGTTGTATGTTGTTTTCAATGTATTTATAAGCAAGTTTTTTATTTTTTGTTGAAATGAGATAAAAAAATTATTAAAAATAGAAGTTTGATGCAGTACGATAGTAGAGGTATTACTCGCGATACGAGCCGCCACTGGCCAATACCCACCTATATTGGCACTGATACTTATGCCAATACCATCAAAATTAGCTGATGCCAACCAATACTGGGTACCCAATTTTAGGCTTATACTAATGCCAGAATTAGTTGATTCCACCGATGCTAATATGTCAAAAGACCCATAATTATACAGATGGGGTTTTAGAATATACTTGTGATTGGCTTCAAGAGTCTTTCCTTCCACAACCTATCCTGGAGCCAGTAATTGTAGTTCGTGTTTATTAAAAAGTTTTTATAGTTAAAGTTAGTCATAGATTTCACTCGGTGGGAGACGGCCGACTTGTTGAAAAAAAAAAAAAAAAAAAAAAAGTGTAATGATGGAAGATACTTCTTTATAAATACACATTTAGAACACTAATGAATGAGCTTATGTGCTCTTGATTCCTTTTCACTTCAGAATGGAAACCTTTGTGTTATTTGTTGTAAGAACATTAACCCTTAACCCGTAAATGGTCCAAGCAGATCTACGTTCACATGTGTAGTGCTACAAAAGTAGATCTAAGTTTTTTTTTACTTTTTTTTTTTTTCAACAAGTTGGCCGTCTCCCACCGAGGCAGGTTGACGCAAAAAAGAAAGAAAATCCCCAAAAAGAAAATGCTTTCATCATCATTCAACACTTTCACCACACTCACACATAATCACTGTTTTTGCAGAGGTGCTCAGAATACAACAGTTTAGAAGCATATACGTATAAAGATACACAACATATCCCTCCAAACTGCCAATATCCCAAATGTAGAAAATGTAGAAAAACAAAAAGAAGATCTACTTTTTTTTACATACTTTCAAATGTTGAAAAAAACGTTTATATACGTTTGGACCGTTTACGGGTTAAACTGTCCAAATGTAGATCTACGTTTTTTCAACATTTGAAAGTATATAAAAATATGTAGATCTTGTTTTTTTTTTTTACATTTGAAAGTGTTTAAAAAAACTTTGATCTACTTTTTTTTTATATTTGAAAATATGTGAAAAACATAGATCTACTTTTGGAGCACTACGCATGTGAACGTAGATCGATGTTTGGACAATTTAAGGGTTAAAAAAGGTTAGATGCTCTTTCAGTAACTTTTACTGTAGACAGTGATAATATATGTGTTCAATTTGTAATAGGTATGACATCATTAGACAAGTACCAAGTGGTTGATGGGTGGCAAGATGGTGGGAAGAAGCGCCACAAGAAACAGAAGAAGCGAAGTAAAAGGAAGGGACAAGTATCATCCAGCAGTGAAGAGGTATGTCTTTCTTCCAGAGATTGGTGCTGAAATCATGAACTTTCTGGCCCATAAGAAATATACACTTTATCTACTATTGTAACTAATGTATCTTTAGAAATAATTATTGTCATTTGTATTATATTTTGTTTTATAATGTGTGACAGATATTTGATGTGCTTACTATTATGTATTTACTTTCTTCACCAGGAGATAAATCGGATGCATGTAGTAAATACTGACATTGGAGAAATGCCTGAAGGGGCTCATTTGTCCGATGATTATGAAATAGATGATCGGCCTGAAGATGATCCTCACAGAGCTCTGGATATTAATCTTGATGAGTGAGTTTTATATATTTCGCTCCTAAAAACTGAATATAGTATTTTGGTTTTGCTCATCTTTGTATTGGTACATAGACTTAATTTTTGTGTTTAAGATAGACAGGTGTCCAATGAAGTTTTTAGTTAATAACCATAAAATGGCAGCCACAAGTTAGGTGGTATATTGTACTTTGTCCACCTAAAATTGTTTTTTGTATGTGAACTAAGTCAGACTTTTTCAGCTTTGTTAAAATATATATTTGTCTTATAGAGAAACATTTAAAGTCGGGTTTCTCATTTTCTTTATTTAAAACTTTGACTGTTGCTACCCAGATCCTTAGGTGTCTCCTGGTGTCGAAAAATTTTTGAAAAAAAAAAAAATGATATTTTTTTCTTGTGAAATGATAGAGAATCTTTCCCACTGGTAATGATACCAAAAGAATGAAATTTAATGGAAAACTTACGGAATTACACTCTCGCGAAGTTAGCAACCTCGGTGATATTTATGAATCGGCGATTTCGCTCACTTAGAGCCCTATTTTCAGCTAATTGTTCCAGTTGACCAAACTCATAGCTATTTCTTTAGAAATCCATTTGTTCTATCAGTTGAGTACAAGAAACTGCCCATTTACCGATTTCAACTACCCACTAACGTGGTCAGAAATTTGCAATTTGGCCAATTTCAGGCAAATTAAAAAATATGCCAATTTCAAAATAGGGTCCAGAATGAACAATGCAGACATTCCTGGCTCTAAAATAACATTTTCTTTGTTCATCAGTCACATCTCGAGGCCCCTCTGATATTACTCTTGCTTTCCATTTTGAATTTTTATTCAAACAAAAAATAGATGATTTACTGTTATGCAGACTATTGCAATATTGTAATAATTGTATAAATAATGTCAACCCATTTATGACTGCATATTAGAATGGCTACTTGGACATTTATTGGACAATGACATCATTAGTTTACTTTTGAACATCAAAAATCAAACATTTCCCCTACTTTGAGCTCCATTTCAAGGTTCTTTTCATAGTAAAACCAATCAAAATCACCTCTATTTCTATAACGTGTTTTCCATTCTGTCAAATGAGACCAAGAAAACGAGAATACAACCATAAATACTATACGAAAATACACCACAAAGTCAGCGTTTTAATCCAAAAACACGGTTGGAGGTTTTTTTTCTCATTATGCACTGAGTGCTGCAGGATTGTTTTTTATATGGTGCACACTGACCACACAGACCCATTCTCTCACATGTGGGCCTACCAGCTTTCTCCTGCTTGATTTGAAGCCGCTAGAATTTTTTAGTATACATGTATATACATTACGTCAAACACGGTGGCTCATAAGACGTATATATACGTATGACCGAAATAGTCAAAGGGTTAACACACTGGCCATTACCCACCAAGATTACCCCCTCCCCCCCAAAAAAAAAAAAATTGTTTTCAGAGTGCAAATACAGTGGACCCCCGGTTAACGATATTTTTTCAATCCAGAAGTATGTTCAGGTGCCAGTACTGACCGAATTTGTTCCCATAAGGAATATTGTGAAGTAGATTAGTCCATTTCAGACCCCCAAACATACACGTACAAACGCACTTACATAAATACACTTACATAATTGGTCGCATTCGGAGGTGATCGTTATGCGGGGGTCCACTGTACTGTATTTCCCACCCTTTTCAGTTTTGCTTAAAATGTAAATAATCATCAGGAATTCAGAAGTACACTGATTGCCAACCATGCGTACACTCAGATTGTTGATCACACAAGTGCGCCATGGATCATCAGCCATACACGTGCATAGATTGCCAGCCATACACACATGCATAGATTGCCAGCCATACACAAAAGCACTGATCACCAGCTATACACAAACTCACATAATCAGCCTTATAGACATGCACAGAATTACCCATCAGTTACACAAGAATGAATTGACACTCTTAAATTTATGTCATGTCTGTATATAACATGATCATGACATTAGTACCAATACAGTAGTCCCCCCATATCTGTGGGGGATACGTTCCGAAACCTACAGTGGATACCTGAAACCATGGATAGTAGCAATAAATTTTAATTGATAAATTATGCAAAAAAAGTCTAGAATTAACACTTTCACTGATGGGAAGCATTTCATGGCTTCTCTTAGGCATTGAAGAACTGCCAGTTTCTCTACTTTTTGTGCTTTGGGGCCATTATTAAGCAAAATTAAGTTTTTTTTTGGGCCAAAGTAAACCATGGATAACTGAAACCGTGGATATTGACTCCGTGGATACGGGTGCCCAACTGCATGTAAATGCCTTAGTTTATGCTTTTTATTCCACATCATACTAATATCAAATACTTTACATATATAGACAATTGTGGTAAATGTAAACCAAAAAGTATCCTGACAGACTTCATTGAAAAAAGCAGTTTTAACAAGATTGAGAGCAGCTGCAGTAGAGAAATATAGCTCTAGGGCTATTTCATCTCTTCATCCCAAGAAGAATAACAGTAATGTAGTATTTCTATGTTTCTTATAAAATGGATAATGTTCTCATATGAAGTTGGGTATGAGTTAAATTCAGCCACATTTATGTCTGGTAATATACTGTATTCTGTGTTTTATTACACGAATACAGTACATCCCCTACTTATGATATTAATTTTTATCAACACACTGGCTGTCTCCCACCAAGGTAGGGTGACCCAAAAAAAGAAGAAACACTTTCATCATCACTTTGCTAGGGGTGTGCCAGTACTATAGCAAACATGCATACAATGAACATACATAATATATCAATGCATTTGGTGAAAATGAGTTGAGGAAAAAAGTATTTACTGAAGACAATTTGTTTAAATATTTTAAATTATCGTAACTGAGGATTAGGGTTTATAAGACATTAATTGGTTTCAAAGTGCTGGCAGCATGAGCGCAGAACATTGTAATTTGGGGGACTGTTATTTTTACTGTATGTGATGGACTAAATCAGAATTCACACTGAATTATTAGTCTTAAATTTTTAATTCTCCTCAGACAACTAAAAAAAAAAAAATCAGTTTTCCCCCTCTTTGTGATTACTATATTCTATTCCTTGCACAGTGTCACTGCTGTAATAATTACAAAATAGGGCAACTGAATATGAAGAGGCCAACTGGTTATAAACAGATGATGGGTAGACCTTTTAGATAAGTGGTTATTATAGAATTCCTCAGTAAATGTCAAAGGGATGTGCTTTGTGATATGTATAATTATTATAATAATTGCCTTTTGTATATTTTTGCAGACCTTTGTCACCGAATGAAGTTCTTCCTACTAGGACACACTATGAAGCACATGCACAAAGAAAAATAGAGAGTAATAATGAAGCAAAATTGATACCATCAGAAATTCCACTTAAGATGAAAACAAGGAATAAGAAAGAAAGAAAAGAAAAAAAAGAGAAAACTAAAAAAGTAAAGAAAGAAGAGAAAAAGGTTAAAAAGAAGCCAAGCAGAGATGCAAACCTCATTTTAGATTTGATTGATCCACTCAAGGAAACAGTCATAAGTGATAAAGTTCCTGTTGCAGCTAACCATATAAATGGCATTGCTGATGCTAAAAATAAAGAAAAGGTATGTGGTCTGTGCATGGTTTTTAATATGTAATTAATTCTTGCTCCATGGCTAGTACTTTTCATTTATTCATATTTTGCTCTTAAATGCCTAACAATACAATTATGTATGCAGTACTGCTCTTATTATATGATTTTTTAAAACCAGCCGTCTCCCACCAAGGTAGGGTGACCCAAAAATGAGACATGTTCACTGTCATTCATTCAATAGATATCTTGTCAGAAGCATGCAGACATCATGATTTAAATGACTCTCCTTTCTCATGGCTTGGTAGTGGTCCTGTGCTCATCAAGGCATCATTCAGTTCCTCATAATGTATGGCATTGGTGATGTGTAGGTTTTAGCATATAAAAGCTTGTGTGAGTGTTTTCGATTGGAGTGAAAGGAGACGAGTGGTTTCTGTGCCTTAATGTGCAGTTGGAGTGTGAGCATGGTAACATTTATGAAGGGATTCAGTGGAAACTGGTTAACCAGGCTTGAAGCCTGGAAATGTGAAGTAAGTTCCTGCACTCTGAAGGAGGGGTGGGAATGTGGCAGTTTGGAGGGTCATTAAAATTATGATGTATGGCAAAGCAGCTATTGAATGTGATAGTGAATGTGTTTTCTTCTTTGGGTCACCCTGCCTTGGCAGGAGATGGCTATTGAGGTTAAAAAAAAAATACATATGTGGTACTTACATGATTTTTAACACCAGCATCTCCCACCAAGGTAGAGTGACAAAAAAGAAACCTGAGCACTGTCATTCATTCAATAGAAATCTTGTCAGAAGCATGAAGACATCATGATTTAAATGGCCCTCTAAGCTGTAACATTCTTACCTCTTTTTTGATATACCTTTGAAGAGTTTCAAGAGTTTAACTACTCTCGGAGCCCAGCCATGGGCTGGGCTCCGAGTTCTTGCGTGATCAACCAAACTGTTGCTGCTGGAGGCCCACTGCCCCACATATCCATCAGAGCCTGGTTGATCTGGCACCTGGTGAAGATACTTGCCCAGTTTCCTCTTGAAGGCTTCTACGCTTGTTCCAGCCGTGTTTCTGATATCTTCTGGTAAGATGTTGAATAGTCTGGGACCCCGGATGTTGATACAGTGTTTCCTTATTGTCCCCATCACATCCCTGATTCTCACTGGGTTTATTTTACACTTCCTCCCATATCTCTCACTCCAGTATATTATGGCGGAGTGCAGATTTGGGACCAAGACCTCGAGTACTTTCCAGGTATATATTATCATGTATCTCTCTCTCCTCTGCTCCAATGAGTACATGTTCAAGACTTGAAGGCATTCCCAGTAATTTAGGTGCTTTACTGGCTCAGTGCGAGCCATAAATGATCTCTCTATTTGTTCCAGCTCTAATATGTCTCCTGCTTTGAATGGAGGCCATCAGCACTGAGCAATATTCTAAATGAGGGAGCACTAGCAATTTGAAAAGTGTCACCATTGGCATTATTTCCCTTGTTTTGAAAGTTCTCAATACCCACCCCGTCATCTTCCTGGCTGTAATGATCTTCGTCTTGTCATGTTCCTTAAAAGAAAAGTCAGTTGACACAATTATTCCCAGGTCTTGAGTTCTTCATTCTTTCCATACCTAAACAGCTGGAACTTATCACCATTGAACATCATGTTGTTCTCCACTGCCCAGAGGCGTCATGAGGAGGGGGCAGGGGGGGCGGGCCACCTTGGGTGACACCATACAGCCTCTAAAGGTGACACTAATGCCCAAAACAGTGCTGCACCAACATAAGATAAAAATCCTTCATTTCTATATAGCCTATTATATGATTACAGAGTACAAATAAGCCTAAATAGGGAAAATCATTGATTTTGATGTGATTGATGATTTTGCAGGATTGAAGGCAAGGAAATGTAAGATCAGATTCACTGAGATGTTACCTGTACTCAAGTTCAAATTGGAACTAGTGTTTCTCTGATATTGCAATGTTTTTCCTTCATTTTTCATTTTTTTTTTTTTTTTTTTGAAGATTAATAAATGAAGGATCTGTTGGCTGTACTCAAAGTCATATTTGAGTTTGTTTCCTCAATATTACTATGCTTATTTATTTTATTATTAATAAAGTTGAAAAGTATTCTCCTGTTCAGTTTATGGCCCTTAACCCTTTGACTGTTTCAGGGCCCCTTTCTGAAACTGTCATTCTATGTCGCTAAATTTAAAAAAAAAAAAGTTATTTTTTTCTTATGAAATGATAGAGAATCTTTTCCCGATGGTAATGACACCAAAAGTTTGAAATTTGGTCGAAAACTCATGGAATTACGCTCCCGCGAAGTTATCGGTCTCGGCGACATATGCGTATCGGCGATTTTGCCGACTTTGAGCCCTATTTTCAGCCAATTCCATTGTTCCAGTTGACCAAACTCATAGCTATTTCCTTAGAACTCCATTTTATCTATCAGCTGAGTACAAGAAACCTCCCATTTACCAATTTGGACTACCCAATATTATGGTCAGAAATTGGCAATTTGGCCAATTTCACGCAAACTAAAAAAGATGCCAATTTCAAAATAGGGTCCAGAATAAACAAGGTAGACATTCTTGGCACTAAAATAACATATCCTCTGTTCATTAGTCACATCTCTAGGCCCCTCTTATATTATTATTGCTTTCTATTTTGATTTTTTATTCATACAAAAATATACAAAATTTACTGTTATGCAAACTACTGCATTATTGTAAAAATGGTTTAAATAATATCAGTGCACTAGTGAAAGAATATTAGACTCCCCAGTTGACGTGTATTGGACGTGTGGTGTGATTTGTTTACTCTGATATTGGTAAAAATCGAACATTTTCCGCTACTTTGAGCTCTTTTCAGGACGTTTTCATCGTCAAAGTAAAGAAAATCATCTTATTTCTGTAATATGTTTTCCATTTTATCACCTAAGACCATGAAAACGCAAATGCATCGATAAATACTATACGAAAATACACCTCAAAGTCGGCGTTTTAATCCAAAAAAACGGTCAGTTTTTTTTTTTCTCATTACGCACTGTGTGCTGCAGGATTTTTTTTATGTGGTGCACACTGCCCATACAGACCCATTCTTTCATATGTGGGCCTACCAGCTTTCTTCCGCTTGATTTGAAGCCGCTAGAATTATTGAGTATATATACGTCTGAAACACTGGCTCGTAAGACGTATATATACAACCAAAACAGTCAAAGGGTTAAACATTCTCATTGTTAAACATTAGTTACTGGTTATGCAGTAGTGACATAATTGGAGTTTACCCCCTCCCATCCCCCCCGTCCTTGAATTTCATGGGGGTGACACCAGAGATTCCACCCTGGGTGACACCAACTCTAGGGATGCCTCTGCCACTGCTCACTAGAAAACCCTGCTTATGTTTTCCTGTAACTTTTCACTGTCCTCTACTGTAGTGACTTTCATGCTTAGTGTCATCTGCAGATGATACAAAAGTGTGATGGGTATTTTTATCTATGCTATGAGGATGAGAAACAGCAGAGATGCCAGGACAGTGCCTTGGGGCACTGAGCTTTTGACCTCGCTGATGCTGGATCTTGCTGTGTTTACTACTACTACTTGAGGTGTTCTGTGTGCTGAGAACCTGAAAATCCATCTGCCTACCTTCCCCATAATGCCCATAGCTCTCATTTTGTGCGCTATCACTCCATGATTGCATTTGTCAAACGCCTTTGCAAAATCTTGTGTAAATCACATCTGCGTTTTGGTCTTCTTCCAATGCCTCTGCAAGTCTGTCATAATGGTTCAGCAGCTGTGATAGGCATGATTGTCCTGCTCTAAAACCATGTTGGTTCAGGTTATGTTGGTTGTGCTGGTCCCTGAAATTTGTAATCTGCCATCTCATCACACTTTCGAAGATTTTTATATTGTGAGAAGTGTGAGGGAAAAGTTCAACAGATAGGAGTAGCGAGTGAGTATATGGTAACGATAGTTTGATTGCTGGCTGCTTGTTAAGGTAGGGTCAGTCTAGCTCCCACTATCCCCTCCCCCCCTTTCTCCCCACCCCAAAAGGTGACGTGTGGGGCTCCGGCCAAACAGTAATCACTCGACTCTCAGCTCCCAGCACAACTGTAAGTAAAAGCCTCTGCTCCTATTCTAGTGGATATTTGTTGAAAGCTTCACTTTTGACCAATAATAAACTTAGTCCTTTCAGTTTTAAGCTCCACGTGAGACTTTTCGATAATCACCACCTTTTTTAAGTACGTATCTTACACTTATCATGGAGAGTGATTTCTTAAGCAGTGGGTAACCTCTGTCTCTTTCCAGCTTGGAATGATAGATCGGGTCACCTGCCAACCAACGAAAAGTGTTGAAGGAGACGGACTGAAACAGCCCATGAGACGTCATTTGTTTATCTACCTACCTGATTACTTTCAGTAAACCGCAGGCAAACTACCCCTCATCTCCGCAGTGGTAAAGAACCTGCGTTCCTGTCATCTGGACTGACCATTCGAGGCTATAGACTCTGTGAAGAACTAGTCGTTGGGTTGTCACCAACACCTGTGACCCCCCCCCTCCCCCACATCATCAGTGACGGCTACAATTTCTACAAGACTGTGTCAACCTCCACCAAACACCCCAGTATAACTGTATATATTAGCGTTGAATTCAAATGTCATATTTTTATTTCATTTTTCATTTTTCTGTCAAATAGGATACACATTCATGTTTTCAGTGTTTTATCTTTGCATTACTAAATAATAAAGTGTTTATCTTTGTGAATTATTTCTTTTTCTATTCATTAATTTTCCTGAGGAGGAGCCAGCCTTGGTAATACTGTCTGAAGTTGTTACAGGGCCGAGTAAGCCTTCACAAGTGGCGACCTTGCCAGGATCAACTCTACTGAATCAAGATTCAACTCCATCTCGAATCTATCAGGAAACTTCAACGCCGCATACCACAGACGGTTGCCACCAGTCATGAGTAATCATTCTCTATGGTAGGACTACAGTACAGGTATTTTAAAGATATGGTGATTGTTATAGTCTCAATTTATTGTAA